TAATATCTTATATATTGGCTGACGTTCAACTATTCTGTGGAGGAATTTCTCTTCGTCGCAAAATAACTTGTTGAATATTTTCTAAAGGTGAAACTTATTTGAAATCTATCGCCCAGGAACGAAGATTTTAAAATGAACGAGGAGAGATAAAAATGAACGAAATACATTCACACACACGAAATAATTATTTAATTATCAACGTCACATTTTCTATTTTCTTTTTATTGCCATTGTTCATTATTCCATCTTCAAATAAATATTTTTAGATGATTAAGCCCGAATAGGAAGCAAAATAGGGAGACAATTTAGATCCAATATGGCCGCCATCTCTTTCGCCGAACTTTCCCGCGCAAAACAAAACACACGTCCAAGAGTCGTAAAGAATCCTTTCTGGCGGCAGCTTCGAATATCAATTTCGGGCAACTGACAGAAAATGGCCCTTCGTTCACTATCAGAGTGTGATCTGCTGTATTGCCCGCTATTACATGTGTCCCTCCCGCGGCCATCTCGCTCCGAATTGGTGGCGGAAAGCGTTCTTCTTTTTTCTCTCTCTCTCTCTCTCTTCCATCTGTTCTTGATTAAGATCTTAGATAGGACGGCCGGAGTTGCGAACTTGTGTGCTTGGCTATTCGGTTTGTTTTTTTGTTTTGTTTTTGTCGTATACTTGGCTTATTGTCAACTAAAAGGAGAACTCTCGAAAAAAAATGTTTCGGACTTCAGACTTTCGACAATAAATTCCTTTTAGGTTAAGTGAGAACGAAGCCGCCTCCACGCCGAGTGTGATTAAAAGCAGAGGCATCGCTGGAATGTCATCAACTATCACCCTAATCGTTCTTCCAATCTAGATACACGTGCTCTTAAAAAAAAAAAAAAAAAAAAAAAAAAAAACTAGATCGACAGGAATCTTCGACAAGCCAGTTCATTTCCAGACAAAGACGGGGAGCATGTCAGGCGGCGGGACATGACATTACACTTCAGCGCCACTTTCGGTTCGTCTGGCATCCAGAGCCTCAAAGCCGGACAGACAGCGACACGGATACCCTACCCGACCGCGTGGTTATCGAACCGGGCAGTCGGGGCACCTTGGTTGAGACTCCAAAGCCGAGTCGCCCTCGAGGACACGCTCTCGTAAGCTGAAACCTATAAATGTCAGCATGGCCGAGTCAGCA